TTTTTTTGTATTATTTTATGTCAGATTTTGTTATTTATGTATTGGTTGTTCCATCTTATTTCCTACATAATATTATACATAGATTTCGTTATAGCTTATATATATATATATTAGTTATCACAAGAGCATAATAGAACAATGTATTTTTAGTGATAGGTATAATGAGTAGATCCCAAAAAGCAGCTTTCGTAGAATATCAGAACTCAGCTTCACGAAGACTTTTAGCTACTCGTGTATATATTTGTTGAGTAATAATTGATGGAGATCTCAAACACTTTCGTAATGATCCATATGAGCATAAGAGAACAATGTATTTTTAGTGATGGGTATAATGAGTAGATCCCAAGAAGCAACTTTCGTAGAATATCAGAACTCAGCTTCACGAAGACTTTTAGTTACTCATGTATATATTTGTTGAGTAATAATTGATGGAAATCTCAAACATTTTCGTAATGACTTGATTGTTGACCTTGTCACAAACATTGTCTATAAAATTCAACTGATAGGTGTCAATATCATTAAAATTTACAAATCATGGTTTTCGGTGAATTTGGAATTTCATGTCACGATATAAAATCATGAAATGGAATCAGCGTGAAATCACATATTCAAACACTGATTTCATGTCATAATTTCATATGATGATATGATATCACATGGTCAAACACCTACTATATTGCTGATTTCATTATTGTTATAGCTATTCGTCAATTTATTTATTTCTTGACTAGTTTAAATTTTATTATAATCTATATTGTTCGAACTTTTAAAAAAACATCATAAGCAAAAGAATACATTATGAAACTTCAACACAATTCCTATAGTATTCCTTCCTAAAATGTCTTAGTTTCCTTTTCTTTTCTTAATCGAATTTTGTCCCGTTTTATTGATATCCAAAAAATAAGAACATTTGTGGACAAAATAAAGAAGTCTACAAAGCTCAAAACAAAAATAAAAATAAAAAACAAAAATCATCAGAAATAAAACAACACATTAGGAAACTTCAACACAATTGCCTGAGCTTTCGTCCAAATTACATGACTATGCGGGGCGTGACGAGGCGGATTAAAAATATTTATTTTTGTTAGATGAAGCTAATTAAGATATTAACAAATATATGTAAGTTTATCTTGCAATTATCATGTTATGCTCTATTTGTCATCTCAAGATGTAGAATCAGAACAAAATATCTTAATTTCAACTTATGTTGACACAAATATCCTTGGCCAATAGAACTAATAACACTTTTGAACCTTCAATTATTAATAAATTACTAAACGTAATATTACAATTGTGAACAATTTATATAAAGTTGAATAGACAAACTGGTATGGCAAGAAAAAACATCTTGATAAAAAATCAATTTATTTATGGAATTTATATTAAATTGGAAGGAGATCCAGGAAGAATTAAATAGAGAAAGAAAACAACTATTTATTAAAATTCATATCAATTTATTATTATAAGGTATTGCTAATTAGCTATAAGGAAAAAAAAAATAGAGGCTATTTACCGATGCAACATTGTTAAACTATAAATAAGATATTTGTTATTTTTTAAATAGTTTTGTTCTTGGCCTTTTTGTTAATTCTAAAAAACTAAAAGTTTTACCATACAATTTTATATTTATTTAAAATAGTCATATTTTAATTCATTTCATCTTTTCTTACATTCACTTAACTTCATATTAATGTTATTTTATATCATTTTCTTAAATCAGTCATTTTCATTTCTTTGTTCTTCTTACTTTCTTTTATTTATTTGTTTAATCCCGGGAATCAATTATTATAACTTTATAAGCATTGTATTATTTGTTTCTACAAAATTTGATTTGTTATTTTTTTATTTTGAATTTTTAAATTATTTTTTCTACTAAAATATACAAAACTAAAATTAAATAATAAAAAGGTGAGATGACATCTTCTTAAAACTGTTTTTATTGATTTTTTTAATCAAAAAACTCGAAAAAAATTAATTATTAATATTAATTTTATTTCTTCAAATCTTCCTCTAATTCTTCTCTTTCTTCCGTCTTCTTCCAAGTTAAAAATATACATATAATTTTGTCATTATTATCATTTATTTCATTTTCTTAAATTCTCTCTTTGCTATTTTCTTCTCTAAATAAAGTCATATTAATATACTCAACTATAATTTTTTTCTTATATAATTATGACTCTTAAATAAGAAAGAAAATCACGTAATAATGGAGAATATTAATATTAATTAGGTAATAACTTAACCGTTTTTTAAAATTTTATTTGAAATTCCAATAAAATCTCATCACTTCATTTCTTCAATAATTATTGTAGTTATTATACAATTATGAGTGTCAAATTACATTTAAATTATTATGTTATATTTTGCTCTTTCACTCTGATGATCAATTTACAATTTATTTTATATATATATATATATATATATATATATATATGAAACTGCATAAAAAAACATTATTTCTATTTTAATTTGATTAATATATTTTTCTTTTTAATCAAAATGATCCTTTTCTTTTAGCAATATTTTAATTTTAATTTTAACTCTCGCGATATGTTTAAAATAATAAAATTATAAATGATTTTTTTGATACATTTAACGTTTTTTTAATTAAAAAAAGTTAAATTCTTAAATTCTTAAATTCTATATCAAATCAAAATAGATCAAATAAATGAAAACTCGAATGGTATAAAATATAAATTGAACAGTGGCTAATTGAAAATTGTGGATGAGTGGCACAAAAACCAACAAGATATGAGAGAGGTCCATCGTCACTGTATGAATCAATAAACAGTGATGTTGGATTTTATATATAATATATAGATTAGATCTACTTCGAAATTTACAATTTCAACATCAAGAGCTTCATTCTTGAATTCCATAAAAGTTCATAAAAAGGTAATTTTTTTTATTCTTTATTGCTTTTTTTGGGTGTTGATTTTATCTGTTTTGTTTATGATTTGATTTTTTGGTTTTGTGAATTTGGATAAATAAAACCCAAATTTTGGTTGAGGTTAAAAAAATATGAAATTAGCTTCACACACTCATAATTTTATTTAATTAAAGAAAAATTCCATGTTTGTGTGTTTTGATGGGATTGGAGGACTTGATAGGTTGATTTCTCGTATAGTCACTCACTCAACTGATAGTTATTACGTTAGAAAGTCGTAATCAACTGTGACTATTAGGCTATAACTTTAATCAGTTGTAAATTGTAATGAGTACAACTGCAGAATTGTAACTGTTACTTTTCTTACAACTTTGGTATTCGAGTTTAAAGTTTACGAGTTCGGAAACAATTTCTCTATTTTCATGATATAGTGGTAAGGTCTGCGTATACCTTAACCTTCTCAGAACGCACCTAGTGGAATTACACTAGTTATGTTGTTGTTGAATTCGGAATTCTTGTTTACTCTAGTTACTGGGTTTTAAATTAATAATTTATACATATTTAGAGGATTTTTTAAGATGAGTATAGAGTTTGAACAAAAGCTAATGAGTTCGGCCAAACACGTAGATTGCACTCTAGCTACTCCCCTGCTTGCTGCCTCCCACCTCCCACCAACATAGGTACCGGATAACTGTGTTGTTCGGACTCTTCAAAAATGTTATGGATGCTTGTTGGATCTTCCAAAAGTAGTGCTATTTTTGAAGGATATGAACGGGTGTGGCAATATTTTTAGAGAGTCTGAGCAATATAGCCGGACAACTTTGTCCATCTAGGCTTGAACAGGTGGAAAAACTCAACTAGTGTTGTTGTTTCGCTAGAATTTAAATATGAGAACTTATGATTCTCAACTCGCTTTATTGACCCTTAGGTCATACGCCATAATTGTTACTTTTATCTGCATGTTTTGTTGCTTCTGGGGAAAAGTGCAGTGTTCTTCTTATCTGTTTCTGGGGGGGATGCTCACTTTACAAGCAAATGTTGATTCCGCTTGCTTAATGTCATTGGAGTGTCTCTTTAATGGTAGTTTTCTTGTGTAGACATATGGTATTGTAACATTTCTTGCTTGGTGAACTTATATATATGCATATTGCTAGTATAGCAGTAAGATATAGTATCCGATCCCTTATTTTGACTCATCACGACCATATATCTGTTTTCTTGATGTTATTTCCCGTATTGAACGTATAAATCAACTGTAGTTCTCACGGAGAACCTATAGATATTATCAACCATTTCCTTACATTCAGTATTGGACCATCCATAGCGTGCAGTAATATCTATCCTTCTAAGTTATTCAGTAATTCGTTTTGGTTGATAACCTTGTTTCTAGACGATCTTATTATTGGTTGTTGTTTTTTATGGATTGACAGTTCTATAGAAGTTTGTTTCACATCATTCTGAGCATGTGTCATGCAATTTCGATGGATTTTAGGGAATAGGAAGTCACGGTCCTTGATTCGAGATACAATTTCATTTTTTAGCCAATTTTCATGAATTACTGGTTGCACTGATCTTTTAACCATGTTCAACCTTTTCAATCAGATGCAGCACTGCCTTCTTATTTTGGAGTTTTGCTTTTGCCTTACTGGTTTTATATTTGCTGTATTGCTGATATTTGTGGGTTCTGTCTGCTTATAGTTGATTTACATGAAGAGTTTATGCACGGTCTCAACGTCTTTCTGGCTCCTACAAGGCCTATATAGCAGATTTCCACATTTGTAATGAAGATATAACTTTAGTTCTAAGAATTCTTTTTTGTTCTGATTTGTTCTTCAAGCTGTGACAACTTAAGATATGATAACATCACTTCGATTGAAATTTCAAATATATGTTTGTGTCACTATGCCTACATAGAAATGCAACCATTATGTTTAAGGTGTCTGGAGATTTTCAGGCAGGCATCATGAAACATGATAGGTAAACAATGCATAATAACAACAACCAAGCAAGTTGAGGTCGATTATTATCATCATTAACCATGTCTCTCCATTTAGCTAATCTCATTCTCTATATTTTTTACTGGCATATGATAGATAATGGCTGCGGGGAAAGAAAATGAACTAATTCAGTTGCTAACGTTTACAGTTTTAGATGGCGTCCTTGGCAACAGCAGAAGTGTGTGATGTGAATGCAGGGGATCTGTCAAATGGTGATCTACGAGTTTTGCCACCAGTCTTCAAGATATATGGTCAATGCCGAGCTTTCTCAGGCCCCATTACGACCCTTAAGGTATTTGAGGACAATGTGTTGGTTAGGGAGCTTCTTGAAACTAGAGGTGAAGGAAGAGTCCTTGTCATAGATGGTGGAGGGAGTATGCGATGTGCTTTGGTAGGAGGAAACTTGGGACAACTAGCCCAGAATATGGGCTGGGCAGGTATTGTAGTTAATGGCTGCATTCGAGATGTAGATGAGATTAACGGTTGTGATATTGGTGTTCGTGCATTGGCATCACACCCTCAGAAATCGAACAAGAAAGGCCAAGGCGAAAAGCATGTTCCTATTTACATTGGAGGTATGCTGATTCGCGAAGGAGAGTGGTTATATGCAGATAGTGATGGCATCCTCATATCAAAAACCGAATTATCGATCTAATTTTGAGAACCATCAAGTTATCTGCTCCAGCTCTGTGTCTTTAGATTTATGATCAAAGCCAAATAGGAGTCAAAGATCTTGGATTGTGTTGTGCTGTGCTGTTTAAAAAGATGTATTGTTTCATCCAGTATTATCTAATAACGATGTACCAATTACTATTTTCATGACTCTGCTTTTGTACCAAATAATTGAACCTATTTTTTTGATTGTTTTAAGGGTAAATTTGAATTATTATTGTTGTCTACCTAGCTACTAAGCTGGATATACATGGATTAAAGAGATGAAGGTTAAAAACACATCTTAACTATAATTTTTTTTGTGAGTTTCATATTTAGACTATTAAGTGTTTGCATTCTCTATTCGAATTATCATCAATTATTTATCAGAACACACCTTGATGCTGACTAGACCAAGTGCTTGTATACAATTGTCAAAAAGCACGTAACAATATAATTTACCCATAAAATTCCATCTAAATGAGAGTTGACTCATTAATTTCAATGTGTGTTTTAATAAATAATTGACAATATGCAAATACTTAAAGTTCAAAAAGAAAATTCTAAAAGAAATGATATTTCAGGTGTGCTTTCCATTATCACTTTTTATTTTTATTTTAAATCAATTAATTTCTTTAATTATCTGCGCTGAGTGCCATTTGACACTATTTTTAAACAAAACAAGAGTGTACACCATACATCAATAGATACTAATCAAAGGTTCAAGGTGTGTTTTGATGAATAATAGTTCATATAGAAAACACAAATACCTAATAATCCAAGTAAAAAACTTGCAAAACAGTAATACTTCTAAGTATATTTTTAACCATTATCTCTAAATTGAAAGGTAAACAAACAAATCGTAAAAGTTAATGGATCAACACTGGCTCACCATATATATAACCCCTTCACCACATTTTTTTTTGGGTAACTCACAACACAATTCTTTCAAATTCTATACTATATTATGACAAATGGAATAATCCTTAAATAAAATTACTACTGCAGAGAAGGAAGCAGGAAAATACCATAGTGCTTAATTAAAAGCTTTTCTACCCAAAAACATCTGCCATTTTCTACATATCTATGATAGCAACACAAGAATCAACGAAAATGGGCAGGCTAACACAAAGGACAAGCAAAAGAAAAATGAAGCTACTAAATGATTCCTATATCCTCATGAATGGGATACCTAAACTCGCCGATGCTGTAACTACTGCAGGAAATAAATAGCACAAAAAGGCAATATTGGAGATATATCAACTTTCAGATAAAAGAAGTTCTCCCGCCCCTCCTACTATGCCGTTCATATGCAGTGTTGAACTTGTCAACCAACTCGTTCATTGTACTGCAACGAAGAAAATAGAAAAAATTTAGATCCTATTATATTTGACTCTTAATAAACAGGATTCCAACAAACAAAAAATATATACAAGAGATGGCCAAGGGAACTGTTTCTCCTGCTTGTCAATAAATATAACTTACAAAACTCCTGCCATCTTAGGCTGCGGTAAGTTTATATATGATATCTTAACCAAATTCACAGGACACCTCAATTTTATCTGCATTCCCACTTAAACTTAATGCAACTTCGGCAAAAACCATTATTATCTGAACTTTAGCCCTATTGTCAACACAATAATCTTGGATATTTCTTTAACAATGAAAAATAAAAGGAGTAAAAGGGGAAGAAGAGTTAACAACTTATACAAATCTCAAAAGCATTAGTGCAAGAAGCCTTAGACATCATACCTAGAGCAGTTGGTGAACATGGCCAGGTAACTAACTAACAATGTGTCATTATATTCCTGCACACAAGAAAAGAGCAAATAAAGTAATAGAATCAGAAAGTGGCAAAAGCTGATTGATGGACCTAGAACAAATATGAAAATTTCTAGTTAGCAGCTTCCAACGTTGCAATTACATAGTAATTATTTGAAGCTGATGAAAGTCTTATTAAAAAACTCTTAAAAAATATCCTGAAAATAAAAAGACATTTCCAACTCCAAAGTTTAAAAAAAAAAAGAAAAAAAAAAGAGAGAATACTGAAAGGCAACATTACTAAAACCACGTCAACTCCAATAACAAGGTCAAAGAACACCTACCATCAAGAAATCATCTCGAAATTTCTCCGACTCAATTGTTGGTAATCTTCTTAAAAGACTGGAGACCTGCCTGAGCAATGAATTCTCACGAGGAATTTCACCTACACCCAACAGGGAAGACATTAAAACTCTACAGCCACTGCACCATGAAAAAATATTCTCTTCCATTTCCATGTTAATTGTCGAAAAAGTTTGTGAGACTAACATTCTCCAAAAACAGTTTTCAAGTAATGATACATTTTCTTGACTAGGATAGTTCATGAGGCTATCTAAGCATCGTAGACTTTCAGATGCAAAATATATATGTCAACTAGTATCCAGGTTTTATCTAAAACTATATTTCGTGGTGAGTATTCTCCCAGAAAACTTAAAAGTGTTTTTTCCACAATAAGGAACTTCTTCGACAGTCAACTAGAATGTAGGTTCAACTTCTAGCCAAAACTGGATACCTTTTTGCATAGCAAGAAGATAATGATGTAGCACTCTAATTCTGCTGTTCAGCATCTTGATGGCACTATGTGTGCCGGTAAGGTGCGCAGCCACTGCACAAATAGAACTAATAAATAAATAAATGATAGACAAACCATGTCACTAAAAAGTTAGGGCAACGGTAAGATCATTCTACTTTGTATAAAGCATCAATAAAAGCTTGAGCTTTGCGAAGACAAATGAAGTTAAAGGTGCTCACACTGAGTTGCAGCAGAGCCTCCATCAGATGGTTTAAGATGTGCAACATGATCAACAGATATCCGTTCAGCTTCAACGGTCTAGTAAACAGTCAGGTATTGCAAGTGAGAACGAATTTGTTAGATGTTCCGAAGAATTTGTGGAGAAGATGATATGATAAATGCACAAGGAGATACCTCTATTGTGTAGCTTGCTTGGGCAAAAATAAGCTGTGGGATGCCATCAATGATATGCAACTCTTTGAGTATCCATAAATAGTTTCAAAACACAAAAAAGAAACCAGTAAATTCTCATCAGTAACTTTAGGAGCTTAAAAGATGGACACAAGAAGATATTCTAATTGGAATTTCTACAAAGTTTATGAATCATGGTTTGGCACACAAGGCATAAACCCCAAAATCATTTGAGAAATGGTTAGAACAATAATGAGGGTCGTGGTGGAAGGCTCTGTATAAAATATGTTATCTGCCACCCAAAAAGGAGATAATACAAGTAATATGACAGAGCATCAGTAATATGACAAATAATATACACGTACCACTTTCATAGATAGTGATTGGCAAGTCCTTCTGTGCATGATTGATAGAAGGATTGAGAAGAACGTACAAAGGACTTTCATTGATATCCATCAACTGATACAACAAAATATGCTAGTGTTATGCCTTGACAAAAACTGAAGGAAAAGCAAATGTAGATATTCATCTAGAGAGCAGAATAAAGTTATTCTGGAATCACGGGCCTAGATGCCATTCTCAACACATTCTAGAAAAGGAGATATTATTACAATTTAAACTAATGGAATATCACAAGCTGGAACTAGTCACCAGATTATAGGCAGCTAGTATCACCCAAAGAACAAGTATGTATCAAAGAATTCAGAAGATCTCGAGGAGAATACAGTCAAAAATATGCAAATTGAATTAACCTATAGCACAGTTTTAAGAAGCATACAGCACTTGCTTAGCTGATTCCCCAATGCACAGAGTACACAATATTCTTCAGGCTGTTAAGTGCCAAGGCAGCTTATTCACCTGGTATGGTGCTTGGATTGTATATGCTGCTTCAATGCTTTGATAGAGGATGCTTCCAGCTTATAGATTGACAATTTCAACAACTTACTATTTTCAGTTGTTTTTCCTCATTTACTCCTTGGCTACTTTCCCTCACACGGTTATTTGTATCTCAAGCCCTGGATACATTTCTCTATGATCAGAAGAGCATCATAGCCACTTTTTCCCCAAAAGAACATTCAAACACTAGACCTTGAGTTTAGCAAGTAGCTAGGATACCATTAGCCAAGAAGGAACTCCTAGAAAGCGTGATGCTATGGTATCTCCTATATATCTCTAGAAGGCTACTACTTCTCCAGGGATATGGGTGTCAGCATCTTTTACTCAGCATGCTATTGGTATCTTACCCTAAGAATTGACTTATCAAAGAAAAATTGCATTCCCACAGAAATAGATACACAGTTTGTTTCTTTATTTTTACAGATTTTATGAATTATCAGCATGTATAGTCCATGTAGTGTCCAAATTCATATCCTATTCTCAATTTCTAAAACTTCACTTAACCTAATATAAACAAAACTAACAATAAAGGCATAGTGCATACCCATGTCTAAGACACATAATTCTTCTAGTTCACAAACATAAACTCATTAATAAGCATCACATTTATATAGTCATATTTTACCCTTTTCATATAAGCATCTTCTCGCATGCATTTATCAACTATCTAGTGAAGAGTATGTTTCTTCCATTGGGTTAATTCGTTGTAGCCTTACATAACTACTACTATATCCAGTAGCAAATGTATATTTTTTAGATTGGGTTAATCCGTTATAGCCTTACAAAACTACTACTATATTTAATATCCAAAGGTTGTAGAAGTTGACGACCTTAGTATAGACAATTAAGTAGTTCATCAAATAACTGGGAGGCAAACCCAGTCCGTTTTCCCATAAGAGAGATATTACTTGACATGAATGAATACATGCACACCAGATGGATAGACATTAAAGTCTAGATGATGAAGAATCAGAAACATAAAAAAAAAAGATAGTTATAACATGCAGAGTTAGTGTTCACTCGCACCTTTCAATTACTGAGCAAACACAATTGAACAGAAAAGAGAAAAACATAAACAAGAAATAACTTGAATATGAGACAATACTTCCTTGTCCAGATTTCTATCACATAATTTACATTCTTTTTGTTTTGGGGCTTCAAATTCATTTAACTACACCATTCAAAATATTAAATTTTGTTGTGTTTTTTCTTTTATGAAACTAACTTATCAACTTGTTTTCCATAAAAATCGTCATTTTGTTTAACAGTTGAATTTGTGAAAAGAGGTTAAAGGCAAGTGGGCCTAAGACTGATCGAGTTCATTTCCTTTAGGCTAAAAGGGCCAAAGTCGTGATCTAATTTTAGAATAAGATCGTCCCAAAGAAGATGTATAGTACATGAGGGAAGGGGGTATTAAAGCCTCTTTCACGGAGATACTAAGAGGGGGGGGGGGGGGGGGGGGGGACAAGATAATAACTACAAGCTTCTTGGGATTTTTTCTAATGTCTTCTATTCTCCGCAAAACCTCCTTTTTGAAATCAGTAACTTTGTATCATATCAAGGATCAAAACAGTACGTGGGAAGTACTGAAACCATATTTACAATAGAGCTCTAGTGCCTTTCCTCTCTAGCTATAAAGAATCTAGAACATCTATGGCTATAAAGAATCTAGAACATCTATGATAGACACACACAGTATCATTAGAGTAAAGCTGATTACACCAAAAACATAGCAGTAAGATGACGTTCAACTTAATCTTCTGCACATCATTCTCTAAGCTCCAAAAACCTCCTTTTATAGGTGCAAAAACTAAGTTTTTTTTATGACCGTGGTGTAGCTGTAATAACTGAGTTGTCAACTCAATGTGAAACTACAGTACGCTTGGGTACTGAAAAGATTATCACATAGCGCGTGACTATACTTAAATGCCTCACTTGAAACTGATTGGGGCATGCAGGCTCGCGGCTCAAGGTTGATTATTGATCTACCGAGGTTAATTGTAAGGTGATCTTCTCCAGGTGAGGCTTCTCTCAGATGACCGGCTACAAACATCCCGCTTGAGCAGGTGTCTAAGGCTTCATATGCCATACCGGGGAGAGTCTTCTCAGTTCTCCCCGGATCACCGGCAGGTGTTCCTTCGTATATTCAGTCTCACCACATGTCATGGTGTAATTCGCTCTTTCCACTAGATCCGATTTTGCCACATACTATTAGTTTATTATTTCACTTCACTACCACAAATGTAACATATAAATAAGAAAATAATTCCATATCTAAATGAACCGATGCATTAAATAAGCACTACTTTAGGCAAAGAAAAAGAACTCACAGCTCTGTGAATGTTCATATCTGATTCCTGAGCATCACTCCCCGTTGAATACCATCCCAGTATATAGAAATTAGGAAACACCTTCTTATCTGCTCAAAATTGCCAACATTAGTATATCAATCATATCACCAAAACAATCCAGGGAAACTTAGGTGGAGTGTAAAAAATCTAACATCACTTTGTTGGAAGGATTTTCCGCCCATACATTACTGTTTAATCTCAAACATGACCATTGGACGAGAAAAACAATGAGAATACATCATCCAAGCACAACTTTATTAGAAAATTTTAACAATGTTATGTAAAAATTGTTTATGCAATCAGAGAAATCGTCCAAACTCCACCTAATTCTCCTTGTATAGAATCATAACATTTAAGGAAAGAATAAACTAACAGAGCTCCTGTTTCTTCTCAAGGAAGGCACGGTCAAGTGAGTGAGTAGATGGATCATAAAGAAGTTCGAAGCTGTTGAAGATCTCAACTGTTCGGCCTCTCTGTACACCGATGACGCAACCGAATACCCTAGGCGGTGGCGGAGGGGAATCGGCGCCGGCGCTGGAACCGGCACCGGCATCGGCACCGGTGGCCTGAGATTTGACCCGAGTGTAGTGATCGGATATGTTGAGTAAAACGAGCGGGTGGAGCTTGAACGTTAAGCCGCTGCTGGATGAGGACGCCATTGTAGAGCACTACTATTTTCTCTTCGTTCTCTTTCTTTTTGTACTCTTTGATGGTCGATTGTCGAAAAAAATACAATAAATAGTCCTTTATATTTTTTCACTAAAACTAAAAAAAAAAACAATATAATTAACTTTATGTTTTTTCACTAAAACTAAAAAAAAAACAATATAATTAAATTTATAGACGTGGCTCGAGAATACACAAATTAAAACCATCAAAATACTATGTGATTTTATAATTATATCGTGTTTAATTAATGTAAACATGATAGAAAAATTAGTTGATTTTATTAACTTGATAAGTATTATTAGATATCTCGAAATAATATAGTGAACAAGTAAAGATAGACGGAAGGAGTACCATGTTTAGTATCCAGTTAAGGAGTGAGTTATTTATATATAATATTAATATGATGTTTGACTTACAATTTATAAATTCACCTAACTAATACATGTAAAAGTTATGATGTAATCTTATATTATTTTATACATGATAGAAGATAGAATAAATAGTACATAAATAACTAATACGTGTATAAAATAATACATAAAATTTTCTTATCACTAATACATATATAACTCTAACCAGCTACTCAACGTCCGCTTAATGGTCGTTTGATAGCTGGTTAGAGTTATACATGTATTAATAATACATAAATTAGTTATGAATATATTTTTTTTGTATTATTTTATGTTGGATTTGTTATTTATGTATTTGTTGTTCCATCTTATATCCTACATAATATTATACATAGATTCCCTTGTAGCTTATATATGTATTAATTATATACGTTTCTAAAGTACAAATCAAACAAGTATCAATTTTATACATAATTCTTACCAATTGTTAAACATAGTATATAGCTATATATTACTTGTGCATGATTTAATACATGAATAACTATTCTCCTAACTAGTTACCAAATGACCCGTAAGAGCATCAGAGAACACTATATTTTTAGTGATGGGTATAATGAGTAGATCACAAGAAGCAACTTTCGTAGAATATTAGAACTCCGCTTCACGAAGACTTTTAGTTACTCATGTATATATCTGTTGAGTAATAATTGATGAAGATCTCAAACACTTTCGTAATGACTTGATTGTTGACCTTATCACAAACATTGTCTATAAAATGCAATTTTTAGGTGTCAATATCATTTATGAATGTTTTGATTTCACGACATGAATTTAAAGACATAATATATAAGCATGACCCATAACTTGGCGTTAGCTGATAACTTTGGGTGTGCACAAGTAGGCACTTAAACATGTATAAAATTAAACAAATAGACACATTCATCCTATATGAAAATTTGTGTCCTATGTGGCGTCTTACATGTATTATGTCATGTAGGACACGTGTATCTACTTGTTCAATTTTACACAAGTTTAAGTGTCTATTTGTGCACACTCAAAGTTGGAGGACATAATTGTCCGTTGAAGCCAAGTTCAGGATTATGTTTATGTATTATGCCGAATTTAAATGACGACTTATTTGTAATTATCACAAATGAAACAATATCTTCTCAATTAATTACACGACTTTTATTCAAAATAAGCCGAATTAAGATATGTAGGACAGGAGGAGTCAACATAAACGAATCCTTTTAAGTCCTAATAACAACTGCTACTTATACGTGGCGGTATTCGCGAGTCAAATCTAGTCGGTTATTGGTCAAAATTAAATAAATTTAATTAATTTTTAAAATAAAATAAAACCAAATATGATATACATTCATCCGTCTGATTGTTATGGATAATGTTTCGATTTGATTTGATTATTAATCATTCGAAAAAGAAAATTAGTTAGAACGATTAACATTGTAGAACTTTTGACCACTCAATTTTTTGGGAATAAAGCTTCAAAATTCATCACTTTTAGCCTAGACAAAAAAATTGGCATAATACATAAATATGTCTTTTAACTTAGCTTCAAATTACATTTATTCCCTTCAACTTTGGTTGTTCACAAATAGACACTTAAACTTGTATAAAGTTGAATAAATAGACACATATGTCCTACATGTCATTTTTTGTCCTACGTGTATTGTGCCATGTATGACTCATGCGTTACTTGTTCAACTTTATACAAGTTTAAGTGTCTACTTGTGCATATCCAAAGTTGAAAGACATAAACGTAAAATGAGGTCAAGTTAAAGAGTACATTATGTATTATGCCCAAAAAAATTAGTGACATTCATAATCCCATCCTAAAACCTGCCACAAACACCCATATACGTGAAACCAAAAAAGATAAATAATCTCCTCCTCTCTGACATACATTTCTACTTGCAAGCAAGTAACCATTTTGAATTTTTTACTTTCATAAAGAATATTATAAGTATGTAATTATAAATACGTATATAATTTGCCAGTTTGATTCAATTATTTCTATATTTTATTTGATTAACTTGATTGGATTTGAATTGATTTTTATCAAAATCGTAAACACTCTACTCACTGATCTAGTAATTTTTTTATATTAAAAAAAAAGTTTAATTTTAGCCTGCTGGTCACATTTCCCAATAGGCAATAGCGGATAAATCGACCAAACCCCAATTTATGTCTATCACAAATAATCACGACTCCCTTCCCTATATTATTACCCCACACAATCACTACACAACAAGTTTTACACCTCACCGTCTCCTCCGTCGACCGTCGTCTTCCTCACCGCCGGCACCATCTCTCCTCCCTTCAATCGACTACAATTTTCGTATAATATCATATAATACTGACAAAAGAGGGAAGAAAACTCGAACAAAGTCATGGCGATGAGAGACTTGGTCACCGGTGCTCCTAGTTGTGGCGAACCCTCTTCTTCTTCTAATCCACTTGGTGCTCTCGCTAACGCACTCATCGGTTCATCATCTAAGACTCAGGTATATCATAATTCTCTCTTCCTTCGTGAAACAGATACTGAATTTGGACCGAAATGGATGTATATTATTCTTATTAAGATGAAATTGTACTTGATTGATTGATATATAATATCATACACGAAGAAATTTGTTCATCCATGTCTTCTATCTACTTTTTTTTTTACGTATTTCGTGTTAAATTGCTAACAGATTAGTTAGATTTGCTAATTGAGTTGAGTTTAGTCGTTGAAGCATGTATAGATTTTCAAATAGAGAAAATCTAGATAAGGTTATTGTTTATAGCTGTGGTATTTTTGAAGCGTATTAGCAAGCAGCTTATTAATACTGAATTCAGAGTGAAATGGATGTATATAATTGAGATTAAGGTGCAGTTTATTTATTGATATATACAGTCTCATACACGAAGAATTTCATTCACAAATGTTTTTCTAGCTGTTTGTTTGTTATGTGTTCGATTTTAAGCATTATTACGCCAACATTATGTATTTCCGTTAAATTGCTGACGAATTAGTTCAATTTGCTGATTGTGAATCTGTGGGGATCTTTGTGTAGATGAGTTTAGTCCACTTTAATAGGCACATCACTTCTTCTATAGGTTGAAGCACATATAGATTCTCAGCTGAGAAAATCTTGATAAAGTTATTGTTTGATTGCTCTTAGGATAATTTATGACTGGGAAGTGATTACTACTGTGGTATTTTTGAAGCATATAAGCAAGCAGCTTATTAATACTGAATAAGAGGAAATGGATATATATTATTGTGTTTAAGGTGCAGTTGATTGATTGATTGATTATTTGATATACAATCTCATACATGAAGAAATTTGTTTACATGTGTTTTTCTAGCTGCTTGTTTGTTACGTGTTCCTTTAAATTGCTGATTTTTTTCAATTTGCTAATTGTGAATATGTGCAGAACTTTATGTAGTTGAGTTTAGTCCATTCTAATAGGGACACCACTTATTTTGGGTTGAAGTACCTATAAATACTCAACAATGTAAACCTCTATAAGGTTATTGTTTGGTTTCTCTTTTGAATGATTCTTGACTGGGAAGTGACTGATAACTATGATATCTTGGAGCATATATAAGCAAGCAGCTTATTTATACCACTTTCAGACTGAAAAGGATGTATATTATTGGGATTAGGGTGCAGTTGATTGATATAAAATCTCATACACACAGTAATTCTTTCACCAATGTTTTTCTAGCTAGTTGTTTGATACGCATTTCAAGTAAATTGCTAATGAATTAGTTTAACTTGCTAATTGTGAATCCCAGTGGAGCTTTCTGTAGTTGAGTTCAATGTTTACTCTATACTGGGAATAGGCGTCTCTTAACGTCTACTCTATACTAGCATTAGCATAGTTGTTAATTGTATTGGTTACATAGATGTATCTATATTGAACAATTTTGTGGACAGAAATAGCCTGAGAAGGACACAAATTTAAGTCTGTATTGGCTTAAATGACATTTTAGGTTAACCTTCGGGGTGGCCCAATGGTTGGGCTTGGGACTTCCATGTTGGAGGTCTCAAGTTCGAAACCCCTTGCCAGCGAAAGCAAGGGGTTTGTCTTCTGGGTCGAGCTCGTTGCACCGGGCTTGCCTAGTGTGGGTTACCTCTTCTATGTGGTTTGTGAGCTATTGCATAGGAGCGGGGGTTTTATCCTGTGTGCACCCAAAGGGTAGCGGCTGTGGGTTTCCCTTGTCATGAAAAAAAATGGCATTTTAGGTTCAAAGTGTATTGTGTGTAGATGTGTTATGGACTTGCATTAACTTGATTAATGGTTCATCTGTCTAACAGGAGAGGCTAAAAGAGATCCCTACATCAGTAACTACATCGTCCAATGGCAACTTCCTTGCGGGTGTTGAAGAGCCATTTGTTTCACTTCCAGGATCAGAGTTTGAACATCCACTTCAGCCTAATATTCAGGTTAATGCATATAGATGCTTGTAGGTTGAGGAGGGATCCAACTTTGAGTGCATTAATCATTTGTAATACAACTTTCTCAGGGTTCCCAATTCCTTCAAGGGTTTCGTTCTGCTGATCAAAATAGGCTCGCTGATGCTTGGGATGAGATACAAAGGCCTCAACTTCCTTTTGCTCATGGAAGTCAGAACATGACAAACATCCCTTTGGAGCATGCTCGGCTTCAACCAGATTTGAATGGTACACTAAACAGTCTCTTCAATCATTACTTTTATGAATTTGAACACGATTAATATGCAAATGGGTTGTTGTGTGTATTTGTCAGTATGGCACTGAAAAACTGTAGTAGAAGACTCCCGGATGTGTGTGTGTGTGAATTATACCGTGGATGGAGGATACTCATATTTGATTGTTGAAAAGCCTATACGAGTTTTATTGTACTTCAACTTTTTTCAAAGGACATGATAGATATCGATATCGTCTATCATATTGGTAAAAGGCACATCTGAGGAAAGGATTGAACTTGTACCTGGATGGCATTTCACATTTCCAACTTGTTGCTTTCCTTTTATTGTTGGATAATTAGTGAATATCGATAAGTTTATGTGCATGGTGATTGCAAATATGTGTGAAGAAAATAGTATGATATGAGGAACTAATTTCATAAACTTTGCTGTATGTTCATATGAGTTTGATTGCCTTTTCCCCAATCTAGGGCCTCCACAACAAGTATTGTCAAGCTTTCTGCACTCGTTTGTCAACAGCGGTCATGGTGGCGTTCCGTTTCGTCCTGCTTCACTGCCATTATTAGGTTTATCAGAAGGTGACAAGCAATGCATACGGGACCGTAGCACGATCATGGCCCGACATTTTTTTGCCGATAAAACTGAAGACTTCATAAATGGACAGGTTTGGTTTCTAGCTATGTAATGCTACTTAATTTTGACACTGAGGTACTATCATTCAGTCTTAAATTCTGAACTATTTCAGATATCCATGAAAAAAATTTCACCAGTCTTTTGTAACAAATTTTACCTTTTTTCGAACCAGAAATCTAGTGTGGTATTAGAAGTAGACATTGGTTAGTTGATGGAAGACATAAATAATAACTATCTCTTCCGTCTGGTTGTTCAAAGTAAATATCCAAAACGGAAAAAAGTAGCTTTCTTTGGTGATGTGATGTGTGAATAATGACGTTTGCGAACTGTATTTTCCATCCATCAGAATTCATTATTAAGTTGTGAGATTTTGTATATGTATTTGTTAAGTCTTAGCCTTTCCGAACTCATCGCAGTTACACAAAGTCTTGTCTCATCTCTTTTGGACTGTAAAAAAGAAATTGATAGGGCATGGAATATGGTTCCACTTGTGCTAATGTGAGTTGTTTTGAGAGAGAGAAATAGGAGAGCTTTTGAAGGTGTAGAGTCGAGTTTTTCTCAGTTGAGAAGCAGTCTTCATTCCCTTATTTTCTTTTGGTGCTCACACAAAAGTCCTTGATGTATAGAGGATTGGTTGGAGTTTGTAGAGAATCGTATCTTTTTGTAAATTCTCTACTTTTTGCTATAACTCTTGTATATGATCGTTATGCCATGTATATAAATGAAAATACTTTTTACTTGATAAAAAAAGAAGGAAATTGATAGGTAACTAGGAAATCCAAACAGATGTGAGGACTGAGAAGAATGTGTTTTATGAGCAAGAAATAACAATAATTGTTGTTTCAACTCCACTGACAGAATACTATGGTTTGATGAGCGAGAGGAAAGAGTGTTGTTTCAACGGTAATACTGTACTGTGTTGCTTTGGTCCTTCAATTATTCAAATGTGCCAAAATACGTCTGTGCTCACTGTTGTTTATCTATTTTGCTTCCTATAACTATTACATAGCTAACTAACTGTCTTATTCATCAGGTTAATGCTCTATTGTCTTCATTAGAAATTGATAATCATGTTAGGGCAAGGGGCCCTGTGCCTGGAAGATATCCCGAGCTTGAGGAGTATTGGAATGAGTCATTAGCTATGAAACCTGTGCCTCATGTTGCAGATGGATGGATTAATGAGTTTGCACAGAACCGAGTAGGACATGCTGACCCCAATGCTTGGGCCCAATCATTTGAACAACAACATGGTTCTAATGGCTGGGCATCTGAATTTGAGCATGTAAGATAAAGAGAAGAATCTACCTTTATGAATATTGTCATGCTCGGTGGAATTATATTCATCATAGAATATTTGGATCTTTACTGAAAAAATATGTATAATTTGGATACGAGTTCTATTAAGCTGTCAGATTGAACTTCTGAACAGAATGCATCCGAGCTGAGTAGAGAGTACAGTTACATATAGATGGACATATGGTGGGAGGTGGATTAGAGAGATCATACTAATTATGTATATAGCATTTGTATTCTTTAGCAGTTATAGACTAAAGCATCCTTATATAGAAGCAATACAGAAACATACACGCTCACCTACGCGCACACAAAATCATTGAGAGAGTGGAAGCACAGACTATCCTGTATTCAAATATCTGGGAGCATGCACAGAGAACACTTTAAGGCTAATTGCGTTTCATCTTTTTAATTAGGCGTGGCTGATATCACATACATGTCAGAGGGACTGATGATGTCTGCTACCCTCTCTCTCCAATTTCCCTTTACCTCACTCTCATTTTTCTTTGTTATCTGTTTTTTATGGGTACAATTTCTAACTATTGCAGGAGCAATCCCAACTTGGAATGATTGGTCAAATGAGAGGTGCAAATATTCCTAATCTAGCAGCAATGGAACAAACACGTATGTTGGCCCATACATTAGCTCAAAACAGTGACCCAAAATTTCAGGTTTTGTGCTAAGGCTTATCATTAGTGTTTATTGTTTGCTTAAATAAATGTTGTCATTCTTCTGTGCGTACTATGACCGGTTATCAAAGCTTGTGGGGTAATTGGGACCACCCCAAGTTAAGGGCATAGTATAGTACCAGAACTGATCAACTGTTAAGTTCATCATGGTTATTCGACATGTGCTTCCTTTGTCTAATTAAAAGTTTCATATGTCTACACCTTCTTGTGCATGGAATAGGGACGTCTGAAGTAACTTTATGTATCAAAAGATCATCATACTTTTCATGAAAAAGAGGGCCTCATCATGTCTTCTACCCTCTAAAGCTACACTTCACTTGCTACGTTTAATGCAACTTGACATTTTCTTCCATAGGATGTCTGCATCCCCCTTTAAGTCTCATGTTCCCTCCTATAGTTTTTCTAGAAACACTAGCTGGTTAGCTCCCTTCAACGCCCACCACTGAATTCTCGGTTGCTTACAAGGTGGCTCCTTTTGCACTCTCTACTTATGCTTTACATATGTTGGGTGGTCTTTGCTTTTCCTGGTTAACAATCCTTGTGGTTCTATCACACTTCCAATAAGGATAAAGTCTATTTTACTATGACTACCCTCATACTTAAGAAGTTATTAGGTGATGATTTCTTTTTTTAAATATTGTTAGCTACAATTAAATCATAAGCTAAAATTCTTCTCAAAAAATCATAAGCCAAAATGAACTCTAGGATACTCTTTCTTTCATTGTTCTTATTTCCATAACCATATCCCTCATGTTCTAGGTTAAAGTGTTAACTATCGTTATCCGCATGACCATTTAGTCTCCCCCTAAAAAGATATGTTGGTTGCCTGGATTCCCGAACCAAGTTGTCCATATTTTCCCAAATTTTAGTTTTAGATTCCACAAACTAATCCAATTTGTGGAGCATATGTACTTATTAACATTGATTGTTTCATTTTCCCATACAAGAGTTAAACTAGGTTATTCTATCCACAAGTCCTGGTTCTACAATAGTTCCACGACATCTCTATTTTCATTGATCTCACAATACCATAATTTATGTTCTTTCTTCCCTCTCTGTAGCCAGACTTTTGCCTTGTCCATTTAGTTTTCTGTAGGCATACAATGTTGAGTCTCATTTTATTAAGGTATCCAATATTTCCGTCGACTTCCTCGCAAAAAACTTATACTCCAGCTGCCTACCTGAGTCCCTCTCTCTTGGACTAGTTCCTTTATCTTCATCCACCCACGATGCGGAACTCTTTCTTAGTTTGCATTACATCCGCGTGGATGAGGCCGGGTCCGCCTATTTACCCAAACTCGTCCATGAGGTGGGGACCCTTCCCAATTTTGCACCACACTTGGATGCTGATGCAGTGAAACTAACTTCTTTTCCTACAATTGACCATGATGCGGGAACCCTTGCTCATGCTCCCTCATAGAACACTTCGCTTATTCTTCATCACACCTGGGTGCCAATGTGACGTGTGCCTAGGTGAGCACGTCCCAATGGTATCTACTATAGTACTATGTGAGGATTCATTATAAATTGACTAATTTTGCGCTGCTAGCCTACTACAACCCTCATTGTGCTGGAGACCTCCAAAAAGGTGTTAAAGCAAAAAGTAACTAATTACAGTGAGCCTAAAAGATCTATCCTGTTCAGCTTCTTCTATACAATGTTTCTTGCACCAAAAATAGGAAGTTGCTTGTTGTTTCATTTGATCTTCTGAGTAGTGTTGGCCCAGTCTTCAAAGCATCTCCCATTCCTTTCTTTCCAATTGCCCCCAAATATAGGAGGGGATTACTCTCCACCGCTACTTCCAGCAGCTTAACTGATCTGAGGTATGCTCAGGCATTAACCAACTGGTCTCTGTTAAACTGAGGAACAAAGACCACAACTGTGAGGAGTGAAGAAATAAATGATTGTTTGTCTCTCCTGCCTCATTGCACAACAAGCACCTAGAAGCAATTTGAAATCACGTTTTTTGCAATATCTCATGACTACAAGCCTCCTTTCAGGCTTAGGATCGGCTATGTGAACCTATGTTGCGCGGACTCTTCATTTTTGAAGGCGAACCCGTCTCGACGCGACACTGGTGCGGGTGCGGGTGCGGGTGCGGGGTGCGTGTCGGATTCGGTCAATCCGATCCGGACACTTTGACCAGAGCCGAAATTTTTTTTTGGGGAAAAAGAGATCAGTTTCCGGCGACCTCTTCAGAGAGGCGGCGGAGCTGTAGGAAGCTTGAAAAAGTAAAAAGAAGAAGAAAGAGGAGTTTGTTCTTCATTGAAAAAGTAAAGAGAAGAAGAAAGAGGAGGAGTTTTTTCTTGAAAAAGTACAGGAAGTACAACTTTTTTATTTTTTTGAAAAAGTAAAGTCTTTTCAACTTTTCTTGAAAAAGATAACTAATGGCTGAGGGTTTCTCTAGATAAGTGTGTCCTTTTATATTTATAAAATAAATTAATACTTTTAATGTTTATTATATTCTCTCTTTTCTTTAACAATTATACTCCTTTTATTTTGTATGTAATTATACCAAAATATGCAATTCATTATTAAATATATTTCATAAATATTTTTAATAATATTTTATTATATATATATATATATATCCACTTATTTGATTATACTAGATATATTATTATTGTTGTTATTGATATAATTTATTTTTCGAGGTACGCTAAAAATAATAAACAACTATACTATGTATATATAATATATTACACATTATATTATATATACCATGTATACCAATTAGCCGTATCCCCGCACCCGTATCCATACTCGGATTCGCACCCCCGAATCTTAAAATTTAAATTTTGCCGAATCCGACTCTCGGATTCGCATCCGTCTCGGATACCCGCACCCGAGTCCGAGCAACTTAGATGTGAACTACCTCACACAGGTGGCATTCTGTCTGTATCAGGAAATGGTGACTACTAAATATCAAGTAAATCAGAAACTGATTGCTAACCTGAACTATCACAAGGACATACTTCCTATGTAATGAGGGTTGTTTAACAAATTGAGTGGAATATATCGAGTGGAGGAGATGTTAGCAGATAAATATTTCTGTTCATTGGTTCACTTTTGTTTGTTTGCTAGTTGCATTTGTACCTGCAGTAGTATATGACTGGTTCAATAATTCATGTAGAATTCCAAATTTCTCCAATTTGTATCCAAGATGAGTCGTGGTGAAATTTCTATTGAAGAAAATCAATTCAAGCCTGCTACAATTTCTTCTGGGGATTGGGCAGCAGAATATGAACAGCAGCATAATGGAGGTCAATCATGGGCTGACCAGTTTGCACATGAGGAGGCAAGTACAAGTTCATTGCATGTGTTGGTTTTTTTTTTTTTGGATGTATGGATTAAAGCATTGAATGTGTTAATCTTATCCCAGAAGTTGTGGGTTATGTCTCATCTAGGATCTCATGAGTCATGAGTATGAGATGCGTTTAAATCTGTTGAACCTGGAATTTCCTCATCTAAAATGCTTTGAGATAATCTAAGCTATATGGAGGTTTCCTTGTTAAATTGTTGACTAGTTTTGTGGCAGTTGTTATTACTCTATGTGGAGAACACCTAATGTATGCGGTTTGAAACATGATTGTGGTTGCTGAATCTCCTTTAACATGTTATCAGGAAGTCCTTTCACATTGATGTTTGTACGCTTCATCTATTGTTTTCAGCTTTCTCGTGGACCACAAGGGTGGGTGAATGAGTTTTCTGCTGAACGTGCGCAGCATGGATCTGTAAATGATGAGTGGGTAAGTGAATTTTCAAAGTTGAATGTGAATGATGATTGGGCAGATGAATTTGGGCGTCAAGTTGCTGAGGGAGCATTTGGTGAAACCTCTGCTGATGGTTGGGCAGAGGCTTATGATGAGTAAGTTTAGCCATGCTCGAGAAAATATGAATTATCTGGCACTCCATTCGTGATACATTTCCAAATACTAATTTTTGTAACTGTTATTTTGGCATATTATGATTTTCCAAAATGAGGCCCATGAATCACCTGTTTTGAAAGAATTTCTCCTATTATTTTGTTCGTCTTTCTCGTGGTGATATTATGCTTTTCATCCATCATTTACTCATGTCTGTCTTTTCTTGTTCTTTGCCCTTTTTATAAGGAAAATATGTTTTGAAAGGGGAAAGGGGAACTCTAAGCCCCTCCTCCTTTATCCCCTAAAATCCCTGTTAGTACCTCCCTCTTTCTGAGGCTTTCCCCCTATATTTTCCCATTTCTTTTATTTTATCCTTTTTTTTAAATATGTCTTTTCCTGGCAGAAATTGGCAACCCTATTATCCGTTGTTTCTTTTGATTTTCCTTACCGCTATGCAAGGTTCATACATTTCCCTGACTTTTATGCTTGGTTCTACCATTTTCTAACAGGTATATGAATGAGCAAGCTGCTCTCAAGCAGCAATCAGACGCATCAAGGGGAGTTTATGTGTTCTCTGATCTGAACCCTTATGTTGGTCATCCTAATCCTTTAAAAGAAGGGCAAGAATTGTTTCGTAAGGGTCTCTTAAGTGAAGCAGTTCTTGCTTTGGAGGCTGAAGTCTTGAAGAACCCTGAAAATGCTGAGGGTTGGAGGTTACTTGGCATAGCACATGCTGAAAACGATGATGATCAACAGGTTAACAATAGTTTAGCCATTCTTCATTCACTAATCTTTCTGTATCTTTTTTGAATCATTTCCATATGTGTTTTATCTGCAAAGGGATCAAATTCCTGGGTGTGGTTGATGAACTGTAACTGCATTTCTGTTCTCCCAGTGTTCCAAATTAAAAACTTCCTATGCCAAGAAGAGGTTATAGAACATTGACATGCTTGATTACAATACAAGATCTTTTCTTCATTAGTTATATTCGTATCAAATTTTGCTTTAGCAGTTATGATACAACCCTGAAGCCTCTAGATCCTGAGATGGTCAAACGCCTAAATTGCCTGTCTGGTTCTTGTTGAATGATAGAAGTACCCTACATATATTAGATAACATTGTAAGAAGGGTTCACTTGCAGTTTGTTGTTGGGTTGCCAAATGGTATTTGGCATAAAAGACACTTGAATCTGCGAGGTTCCCCTGAATCAAGCTCAAACCATTATCTGTTCTATGATTTTGATTCTTAATCTCTATTAGACAGTCTCACCTATTGAACTTGCGATTTTAGTTGTTTCACTGTTATAATGGTCTGTGATGCCTGAAGAATTGTGTGAATTGAGTTCTCCCATCTTTTGCTGTTTGATCGGAGATCACCTAATACTGAAAATAATTTATTTCCTAAGTAGCATTAACCATTTAATTTTTGAAGCAAATGTGAGGAGTTGGTGCTGAAACCAATGCAACAATGATTCATGTTGATATGTTTAATGATTTGGATCCTTCTCTGTCTAGTGTTCCTTGGCTAAAAAATGCTCAACTCAATATGTTGGTAAGGCATAACATCATAGTCATCTTTTCACAGGCTATAGCTGCAATGATGCGGGCACAGGAGGCTGATCCTGCAAATCTGGAAGTTCTTCTTTCCCTTGGAGTAAGTCATACAAATGGTAAGTAGTTAGTTCAATGGAGATTGCTTATTATTTCAAGTGAGAAATTGTAGTGGATGTGCCTATTTTTTATAAGTGAGGGAAGCATAGTAGAAAGGACCATCCACCTTCAACTAAGAGATTGGAGTACTAAGTCGCGCCACAGGAGCAAAGTGGAAAAAACGCCACCGTGGACTCTTGGACGGGAGTGTCTGAGGTTCATATTGGAAAAAATAAATAAGATCAGCCTAAATTTTTATAGGATATTGTTCAAACATTATTGCTACTTGTGTGAAATAGGTTCCTAGTAATGATTGCTAAATGTAATTTAGAAACTTCATAAATAGAAGAGCAAGAGTATTAATTTTTTGATAAGGAGAAGATCAAGAGTATTATTGTTTAGTTAATATATTCATATGATGTGGAGCATTGAGGCAACTTTGTTTTGTAGTGGTTTTAAAGTTCGATTACATTCGCATTATCATTGGCCCTCTAGATTTATTGCTTTTTTTAGTCTCAAACTGAGTTTAGAAATTGCTCCATGATAAGTAAATAGCATGATTGGGCAATGGACATTCATTCTCATGAGGAACACAACAACATCCAGAGAGTGACTCTTTTATTAGATTTTGTAGTTTTCCTGATTTTACACGTAGTCTGTAATTTTTATCTTTAAGGATTGTTAATTCTAGCTTATTCAAAAAGATATTATTTTCCTATTTTGTAATTGTCCAGAACTGGAGCAACAAGCTGCATTGAAGTATTTGTATAGTTGGTTACGCCACCACCCGAAGTATGGGAGTATTGCGCCTCAGGAGCAGCCCATTTCTTTCTATCATGCTGATGTAAGACTCCTTATTTAGCTTCTCTTCCTACCTTTCCCCTCCCATGTTCTCCTTCTCACCTTAGGTGGATACGATGCTGAAGTATTCCAATTGCTGAATGTTGTTGAGGGTTCATTTTAAACTTGAAAGTACTAAAATGTAGCTCTAGTTTTCGCTATTGTGGCCAATCTACTCATTCTATCTCTTTCTTGCCTTTCTTCTTCATACTCTTTTTCTTTTGTCGGGATCGGAGAACGGAAGGAGGCCATAGCATAGGAATTGTAAATGAAGGGCAACTAACTGAGATGTTTATTTTTATGTGATACAGGTAGCTGGATTGTTTACAGATGCAGCTAAAATGGCACCTGAGGATGCTGACGTACACATTGTACTTGGGGTGTTATACAATCTATCAAGAGAATATGACAAAGCTATAGAGTCTTTTAAGACAGCACTAGAGCTCAAACCTAGGGACTACTCACTCTGGAATAAGCTTGGTGCAACACAAGCTAACAGTGTGCAGAGTTCTGATGCAATATTGGCTTATCAGCAGGTATTCTTCATTTCACCTAATGAATACTCATTTTCCTCTATTTTGGACATCTGATGGTGAATTCTCCTTGATATATTAACTTGTTGCTTATTTACAACCTTACAAGAAGGCACCTATGATTTGCATATTGACCCTGCTAATACAAGTGTGTGGATATTCTTAGTGTTGACTCTTTGCAATTCTTACAATGTAATTTCCCCAGGATTGGTAGCAGTATGATAGTGTGTTGAACTGAAAGATGTTACCCATCAGATGAGCTTGTTGTGGCTATCTTGGAACTGAATCTTTTAAATACGTGTTTGAATGCTTCTTATGCACTTAGATGTGTACTTGAACTCCTTGTAGATGTATAGTTCAATAGAGCAAGTATAGAATCTTAGGTACGGATGAAGCTGTAACTTTACTGTTTTGAGATATGGAGAAGTTTTTGGTAGATCCCCACCATTATATTTTGTCACATATGCTGCCTTCTTCTTTTGTATCATCCATCTTGTTTGTGTGTGCGTATATCCATATCTGTAGATTTTTCTGAAGAACAATTGATTTATTGACATTTCAATTTTAATTCTCAGGCGCTAGATATAAAGCCTAACTATGTACGTGCATGGGCAAACATGGGCATCAGTTATGCCAACCAGGTGATATTCTATGCCTTTGGAAGTTATAAGCCACACTTGTACACTTCATTCCCAAGTTAATAGTAGTAAGCATGTTTTTCGAACTTTGGTTGTGATTCTGGTATTATCTGCGCGGTTCTAGATGAAGTCCTCATAATCTTGTGCTGAAGAGTGCAGAAATACCAATCATGAAGTTGCTTCACTCATCCCCCCCCAAAAGAAAAAAAAAATTCCAATCATGAAGTTGTTTCACTCATCCCCCCTCAAAAAACAAAATTCCAATCATGAAGTTGTTTTATATCAATAGTTTCCCAGAACAAAGAAGGCAAAGAGACATCTAATTGCAACATTCTCTCTCAAGTTCCTGACTGTTATTTGCAGTGCAATGCTGTGTTCTCTTTTCATCTAGAAAAATAAAATTTCTTTTATATCTCAAGCGTAATTTGTTTCATTTGTTTATAGAAGTCCATGGCGTATAATTTTAAACATTTTCTTTTTGCATACAGGGTATGTATGAGGATTCCATCCGTTATTATGTCCGGGCACTAGCAATGAATCCCAAAGCAGATAATGCCTGGCAATATTTGAGAATATCTCTGAGGTACAACATCACATGATGAAAATTCCTTGTGTAGCACTATTATATTGCAGTTTCATTAACTGAGTTTTTGTTTAATCCTATTTTGTTTGGCAGCTGTGCATCTCGAAATGATATGTTGGAAGCTTGTGACTCGCGGAATATTGATGTTCTCCAGAAGGAATTCCCTCTGTGATATACTTTGGTCCTAAATGCTGATATGAGAGTAGAAGCGTTTGATTTCCCTCGTCTTCAAGGATTCCAAGATTCACATCCTCTTCAACCTTGTGAACTTGATTTGCAATAATTATATTCACTGCTTTTGTAGCTCATTGGATCCCTCACCTGCAAGCTATAATATTGTTTATCCCCTTGAGATCAGAACTTAGAAGATTAAGCTGGACATGACAATGGTCTGGAACTAGCATAGAGCCAAGCTTATACATCTGCCATCATTCAGTGATTGTATTGTAGAAATGAAATCGTTATGTAATGAATAATAAACTGTTGAGAAGGTGGGTTTGGGGTGGGGGTTTGAAGATATAAAGCTGCAAAGAGAAATAAGTAAGTGTAACAACTAGTGTAAAGTTGTCGTATCTCATGAAATGTTATCTCCTGGTATCAGCCAGGGAAATTCCTCGATTATTTCGTGTTATATTTGGGAGTGAGGAAACCCTTCACCAAACCAACAGAGTTCTTCACTTTTCTTGTTCAACAGAACTCTGAACACTGCCAAAGAGGTAAAAGGTGATTTAATTCAGATGTTTATTCTTCGTCACTTACGTTTGTCTTGCTTCTGCAATGGAGCTGTAAATGTATAGTCAATATGGCGCGGACATCAGGACATGAATTATCATCGCAGTCACACAAGCAACAAAGTTCAAAACACACCAAACTGAATTTTTAAAATAATAAAACACAGGATAAATGGCAAGAAAAACTAGATATGTGCAACCAGGAGTGAATCAGAAGCTCATAGCTGAACAAAAGGAAATCAATTGAAGTAGATAAGATGGATAAAAGGGAAAAGGAAAGAAATACTACACAAACAAATACTAGTCATTTCCTACTGACCCCTCTTCCATGGCCTTGCACACAAATTTCAGTCCCACAAGAACAACAACAATCTGTCACTTTAGGCCTGTGTTGCTCCGAATCTTAAAAGTACTGTCCAGATGTGTCAGGTCCTCCAAAAGCTACCATTTTTGAAGGAGTTAATGCGGATGCAACAACATTTTTAGAGGGTCTGAACAACATAGCTTCAGGTCATTCGGCCATCTAATTTGGCAATTTAACTGAAAAGCTACACCTATAAGTTTCATTTACAGAATCTTTTGACAACAGCAACAGGGGATACCAATGATATCGAGGCATTGATGTCTCATAACCATTTTCTTCTCCAACTGTTGGCCCTTTTTTCAACAGACAAGAATCTAGGAAGACTAAGAAGACTGTTAACCCTAGTAATTCCCTCGAGGGCCGACCATTCATCATCTTGTGCAGTTGAGAGGAACTCAGCAATACTTCTCTTAGACTGGCCAACACCCTTATCCGGATGTTGTTCTTCCAGTGACTCAACGACTGGAACTATCTCACTGTCATCCTTGGTAGAATTGAGATCTTCACAACCGGCAGTCTGAGAAGTTGAAATAGCTTCAGTATCTGATCTTCCAACATTTCTATCTATAGTATTTGTCTTAATTTCCACATCAGGGGAATTTGTCAGCTTAGTTTCCACTTCAGGGGAATTTGTCAGCTTATTTCCATTTATAGTATTTGTCTTAATTTCAGCTTCAGGGGAATTTGTCAGCTTATTTTGGCCTTCTATCACCTTGACATCAAGAACAGGTGTTGAGTTTAGGTAAAGGCATACTATAGCACAGTCATCATTCTTTGATGTTGGATATTTTAGCCTCCATGCTCTGGTAGCACAGTCAACAAGAGCTCGGCCAGCTGTTGCACGACTTGGAGCGGAGGCCACAATATCCACAGCTTCCTTATTAGAAAGGACATCCCAAACCTACATCACGAAAGTCAAAATATTAAGAATCCAACAATATAAATGTGGTATCACAACGAATAAGATGTTGTATGTTTTCGGTATGGTTGAGGCAGGATTAAACAACATGAGATAAAGAAAAATACCCCATCAGTTGCTAGGAGGACAAACTCATCCTTTTCAGTAATGTGGTGATAGTACACATCCGGCACAGAAATTAACCCAAAATCTTTGAGACAGAAATCACCAAAGGCTCTGGCCATTGCCAAACCTGGAGAGTCACAGTTTGGCAACCACACACGTGCAACCTCTGGCTCATCTTGCAGTGCAAAAACCCTTCCTTTACATTTATGGATTCTAGCAGCTTCTCCTACAAGAGGAAGACAAAAACTACTGAGTTCAAACAATTAAGTGATTTCAGGTTCAGCTAATGTGCACTGTGTGTGTTGGGTGGAGCGGGAAGAGAAAGAGACAAACAGACTTGGAAGATTAGGCTTCAAATCTACTGTCAACTGTACAGCCATTAAGGAGTTGTCTTTATCTCTTGTTGCCAAAACTGCTCTCGAATCACCAACATTACCAACAAATATATTCTGGCCCTGAGGACATTCAGAAGATTGGTTATTATCCTCTTTCAAGACACTAAGCAATTAGTGATGCAAATATAGCCATGCTAAAGCAGAATCATGCGCAAACCTTCCCACTCAATCCATATTATTTTCTGAAAGTATAATGTTTCAACATCATATCCTGGTCAACAGAGATATTCATCAATCCAAAATTCTACACGACTTCACATACACACAAAGTCATGAAACAGTTGATTAAGGAAGAATCACAAACTAATTTCTCAATAAGTCAGGACACAAACTAATTAAACATGCAATATGATGTGCAAGGTAAAGAAAAGGCCCTGCATTCTGACAGTACGTGAGAAGCACTAAAATGCACTCTCCAGTTTACAAGAATATTTTTTGAATGATCTGACTACATATTGGCATAGATATACTGGCCTTGGAGGATGATCTGGAAGACTACACAAGAGTCCCCAGAAAAGTTGCCTTCTTTGGTTGGTTAGTGTCTCACAAAGCATCTCTAACGCAAAAAAAATTTGACACGGAGGGGTTGGAGAGTGAGCAGCAGAAAGCTTGTGAATCTGGGGATCATATTTTTGTGCATTCTGAATTTACTTGGCAGGTGTGAACCATGTTCATGGCAAACTTTGGCGTCACTATGATTTTGATACTGAAAGACATACAAGAAGAAACTATTGTATACATGCACTTTACATACTGATGACAATGATTCAAACCATGGATATCAGACAAGTATGGACCACACTGCTTTTCCAGCCTCAATGAAGTAACACTAGTTTTTAATGCATCAATACTCTGAAGCTAAAAGAAACCAAGATTCTGGTAGCTACCTGCATTACCAAAGTAACAGCAGTTGACCCGCTGCAGAAACAGTCAATTGAGGGGTGTAACTTCAGTTCCTTATCCATTGATCTAAAAGCCCTTAAAATTGACCTCTTAATTTGCAGATGGATTTCTGGGAAATTTTCATTGTTCTCAGCTTCCACTGATTCAACCAAATCATCATCCACGATGTCATCAAAATGTAAGCCTCCATTAGTATTTCCATTCTTGGATACAGCATTTTGATCACCACAGGATTTAGTTTCCCACTCTGATCGCAGCAAGATTGGAAGATAATCTCGAACTTTACTTGCAACCATATGACCATGAGGACCATGCCCATCGAATACTCCACAAAGGGTTGTATCGCTTCTCGAACAATAATTCTATTGTAGAAACATTCCAACCAAGTCATAAACTGACCCAATAGACAAGAACAAATTAATTTATTGTTTGTCAAGTAATAGATCAAGCAAAACACAAGAGATAATAACTATGTTTTTTTTTGGAGAAGGTAACATGTTCCAGTATATTATAAGAATCTTCACCACAAAGTTTGTGCTGGAAACCAAAAGGAAGTGGTTACAACAAAAACAAAAATTACAATCCTTGAACTTCTTACAAGGATAATAGTTTTGCTTTTCTAATACATAATTTTTGACGCTCAACAATGATAGCAACGAGATGAAGCAGAACTCAATTAAAATTCCGAAGAAGGCCTGGGAATAGAGGTCTTCGAGTAAACTACCATTTGGTGATTGGTTATAAGCAGTAAAGTTGTTTTGCTAAGACAGCCATCCCAACTGACGAATAAAAGGAGCATAGGAACAAAAAGGCATGTGTAGATAAAAGATTCAACTTTTAGATTCATGACTTCCAACATGATGCGGTCAATGCTGCCACAACCAAAAGCAAATAAAAAGGTACTAGAAGAAACAGAGCAGTCAGGAAATTTGAAATGATGAAAGCTAAAAAATGAAACTCAGGCACAAACGAAGCTACTTAAAGGAAGCTCATGCCAAACTAAATAGAGAGAAAAAATATCCATCACAGACAAGGAAAAAACGTCAAATTGATCCATTTTTAGATTATTCATCATTTTACTCTTCCTCTAATCAAAATCTTTGATGAGCCCCTACGAAGATTCAACTCTTAACACTAAGTGGGATTCCAGTTATGACAGCATACACGGTGTAAGGTCTAGAGAGGGTGAGATGTATGCAAACCTTACTCCTACCTTGGTGGGATAGAGAGGTTGTTTCTAATAGACCCTCCGCTTAAAAGGATTAATTTTAAACAAATGCATCAATCTAATTTCATATTAGATATTGAGTAAGTATCACCAAAATCCAATCTCTACACAGTGCGGAGACACATATATTTGAGAAGTGTCAACTGACACCCCTTCGTCAGAAAATTACACTATGTAGTCAGGTAAAACTATTTTTATATGTATATATATTACATATTGACACCCTTCGCTTCTACGTGATTTTACTTCTTTATATTTAAAGACCCCTTAGTGAAAATTCTGACTCTGTCACTATCTCTACATACCCATTTAGGTGTTAAGGAACAAATAGCATATTCACATTCACACTCAAGGGAGCATCTAGACTCCTCCTGGTGGGATATAACATGTATATGAAGTAAATTGAGAACTACAAGGTCTCAGAGACAAAAAAAACTACGTGAGTTCTTCCCATCTAGAGTTAGCCCTGGTGGACTGAGTTAGTTAGTGCATGTTACTCGAGTTGCACGCAAACTGGTCAGGACACCACGATTATCGAAAAAATATATTTTAAAATAGGGAAAATAACACACATGCACCATTTTATCATTCACAGAGTTGAGTAAACAGACCTCCCAAATGACCATGGCATCTTGATTGATACCTTTTTTTCCTTGCTGAGTATATAAACAACCAACATTACTAGCACCATTCCCAATTAACCTTCCCGGAATCTGTTGAAGCCCTCTCTCCTCAGCTCCTTCTCCGGCGCCGCCTCCTCCGCCGCTGCTCAACTTACTGATAAATGTACTAAAATCACCATTAGAAGAACTGTTCTTCCTCAACTTCAAATCAATTTTTCTACTCTCATTCTTACTATCACATTCCTTCTCCTCACTCTTCTTCCCTTTACTTGAAGAATAGCAAATCCCCATTTTTTTAGCTCCAAAAAATCTAAAAAATTCACTACAAAAATCTCAATTCACATTCTTCATTTAGTACTGATTCTTATAAGATTAACAGAATTTGATAATCAAATTGTTACAGAAACCCTAGAAATCAACGAAGATCAAAATGAAACAAAATAATCAAAAACTACAGATAAAAACAGATGGAAGAATAATCAGGTGAGGGTGTAAAGTATGAGTAGGTATAGAATTTATGAACTGTTTATATATATATTTTTTTTTTTAATTTTTCAAAACTATAGGTTATATAAATATAAATTAAATAAATTTAATATTTTTATTTTTTTGCAATAAAATATTTAGTTGGTCGTGTGTGCTGTTGAAAAAGTTACTATTTGAAATTGGATGAAGTTTGGACTTTTGTTCCTTGGGTCCTCAGTCCGCCAATTATTAAAGTTTTGAAAATTACAAAAGCAGTCCCACTAGTGTATGTATTTAGGGAAACATCCTTTATATGTTTTCAACTTGACATTTTTGCCTCATGACTTTTATAATTGGAAATTATATTGGAATAACTTTTATTTTTTTTAAAAAAATTCGTAAGTGGCTATTATGTAAGATAAGTTGTTGAAATGATTACACTTATATGATAATTTTGTAGTCTTGGTAGCTACTTGTATTAATATATGTATCGTAATAGCGTAATATTGGTCAGATAAAGTAATTAGAATAGTAAAGAAGATTCGAGATGAATTTAATGAGAAAATTAATTTATACTTATTTTTATAAAGGAATATAGAATGGATATAGTTATGGATACTAAAAAGGGGCAATCATCTACAACAAAAAAAGTTAATTATTTACTAGTTTTGTATTGATCTATTTTGACCATCAAATTCTATTACTTTATTAATCTTAAGAGTTAAAAGTCAAATGTTTTTCACTTTTAACCTACTATAAAATTATGTTATCAAATACATACCTATCGCATAAAATTTGATCTAACCACTCTATTATTATATGTAATTGTGAACTATGACAACTTGCGAATTTATGTTTTTTTTTTTGTTTAAATTATTTTATTTATTTATTTATTAAATTATAAATAAATTATTTATATATATTACATAATTTTTTAATTTAAGTAAAAAAAAATGAATTAAAACTATTAAATTTTACCAAATTTATAATTATAATGGTGGATCCACCCCAATTGAACACGACACTACAAACTACACATACTGAGTTGGCAATATATTTTTTTAATTATTACTATGTGATAAAACAATTTAAAGTATACAGTGCATGACAACAAGAAATTGATCATTCAATGCATATCATATATTATTATTATTATTATTGTACCAAAAAAATATTATTATTATTATTATTATTATTATTATTATTATTATTATTATAAATAAAATAAAAATATGGCTCAAAGACAGCAAGAATAGTGTCGACAAGAGAATCTATCAAGAGCCCTGACCTTTTAACAAACAGAGAATCCAAGGACAATATTTTTTCATGCCCCACTATTTTTGTTCTTTGGATCACTCGATCACATATTTCAAAAAATTTATGAATTAATACATACAAAAAATCAAAATAATTATGAATTTTTGTTTTGTGATTCAAAATTTTCACAAAATATATATATATATATATATATGATATTTGTCCTTGAAAAATAATAATTATCATACACTAGGTCATCGCAAATGAACCAATAAAATTTAGAGTTAAATAGATTCAATCAGATATATTTCAAAAAATTTATGGACTAATAAACATGAAAAGTCAAGATAATCCCGAATTCATGCTTTGTGCCTTGAAAACTCCACAAAAAAAGACATTTGTCCTTGAAAAATAATGAGTATTATTTATTATGTCATCACGAATGAACCGATAAAATTTGGAGTCTAACAGACTCCATCAGGCTTATTCCGAAAAATTCATCAACTAATACACATGAAAAATTGAGATAATTCTGACTTTTTGTTGGTTGTCCACGATGAAAGCAACAAACTAAGCTTTATATTGATTGATAAAAGCTTACAAGAAAATTGTTCATCGTTAGTAACACAGAGATTGCTATTACAAATAACTAATGAAAACAATAAATAGTAACTCCTACAGACCCTGCTACTTTATTATAAATTTTAATACATGAATACAATTGGAGAAACATTATTTTAAATGAAATACATGTACTCAAGTTAGGTAATTCTTGATAGAAATTGTACTCGAGTTAGGTAATAATCACATAAAGCTACTTTTTTCGATAACATATTCCGTGCAATTTCATAGTTGGAATCTAAAAAGTGCAATGTGTTTACACAATCTTATCTTACCTTGTAAACGTATAAAAGTTTTTTGCAATAGACACGCAAGTGAACAACATAGTAACCCAAGTAGCCTTTTAATTGATTTATCTTCTATTCTACTAAAAAAATGATAAGAGAGGTCAGTAGTGTATCGTATCATCAAAGGAGTAAATATCTAAAATGTAGTAGTGCTTGAATAAAGCCATTCAAAATGACTTTTCTTTTACAAAATCACCATACATGTTGTTATTAAAGATTAATGTACCAAAAGACCCTTGACAAATTGTCCTTTTACAATGGCAAGTTTCAAAATAATAAACATTTATAATACAATACTAATAAATATAAAACAAATTAGTAAGTATACCAGCTAGAGAAAATTACATTTCTTGAATTCAACACCTCAAATTTACAACATACACTATTTCTAACAACATGAACAATTTACAAAAAAAGTACAGAGGGGAAAAAAAGAGAATAAAACAAAGATGAAAGTAATATTCAACCAAATACAAACTATTTACCTTCCCTCCACCACTCCAAAATTTTCCAATTCACTCCAAAAATCTAAGCTCAAATGCTTTGATCATATGCAGCGGTTGTGAATGTCGAGTTACCTTGAGAAGAACTCGTAGATGGCAACGTTGTTGTATTGTCTGATAAGACGTAATCATATGCTGCGTTAATTTGTTCAGCATCACTACTTTTAATCTTGAGATCCATGAAATCGGAGATCAAGCCTGGTTTTGTTATCTTATTGTCATTGACCTCCATCTCACCGGTTAGCATCTTGAGAATCGTAGACATGGATGGCCGCAGTTTTAAGGAGTCTTGAGTGCAAAGGAGCCCAATCTTCAAGAGTCTGCAGGCCTGTTCAGCATCAAAATCCCCGTCTAGAGACGTGTCTACTAGCAATACCAACTCCTTTCTTTCATAAAGTTGCCACGTCTGAAACACACACACGAAAATAGTCAAACACAGCTTTCAGCATAATCATTTGAAGATTGTAGACACTAAGGAAAAGAGAGAAGCAAAGAAAATGATTCATTCTTCTCTTTTATGTTCTATGTTGATCTTGCAGAGATGATTTCATTGTTGCGTCGCGTGGATATTACATTTTCTTCCAAAAGATTAGTTTTATAGCTTGTGAATTCATGAATCAGTTAGCATCATGTTTCAGTTTTTTTCTTGTGTTCTCGCCATATAAAGCAATCATGCAATAATTAAAATGAATGTATGGTTTGAAAAGTCATACCCTCTCAAGGAGATATTGTTCGTCAATAGGTAAACGCGAGTTTGTGTTGCATCTTCCAGTGACGATTTCTATCAGAAGAACACCATAACTGTAGACATCTGATTTACGTGTTGCCTGGCCTCTAATTGCATACTCTGGTGCCAAATAACCACTGGAAAAAAGACATGGATTTGAGTTAATGAAATTAGATACTACTCGGAGCATTTAGTAGAAAAGAGCAAGTAGAAGAGAGGAAAAAGGCATGTGAAGATAGCAGAAAGACTGAAGTACATGGAATTACTTAGCAGAAAGCTATTGTACCACGCGTGTACTTACATGGTTCCTGCCACACGTGTACTAACATGAGTAGCGTTGGGGGGAATGAGCTTTGCCAGGCCAAAATCTGAAATCTTGGGTGTCAAGTCTTTGTCAAGGAGAATATTACTCGCTTTGATATCACGGTGAATTATATGTGGCTTCACTTGCTCATGAAGATAAGCTAGCCCCTTCGCAACTCCAATGCTAATTTTAGTCCTTGTTCGCCAACTGAACTGGATGCTACTGTGTCCTCCACCTGTATGCAAAATATCCAGAAGAATTAGATTTGAGTGTTTAGAGATAGAACTACAATGAACTAGAACATTTGTATAAAGTGATTAGTTTGGTTATTACAATAACATATCCAAATGATATAACTCGATCACTTTTGCTGTCCACGGAGTATAGAGGACAAGGAGGGAGCCACTTAAAGCAAAATCTTATTTAGTATAACTCAATTCATAACATAGTAGTGGAAACAATATTGGGCATTCACCTAATCTAAAGCTGATAGGAATTCGGAACAATGTGTTTATCTAGTTTGACTTCAAAAAATCACATCAGGAATCTGTATGTAGTGATTGACAATATAAAAATCACAAGAAGGAGCAAGAAACAAAGCGACAGAATTCTACAAGATTCAGTAAGGACGACAGAATCATTTTACTCATTTAACAGATAGATTATTCAAGTCCATGTGTTCTACATCAACTTTGTGGTGAATCATGTGAAGCACATAACACTCCTCAGACTTCTCGACTTTTAACTTTCAACTGAACTAAAACCTCAAACATCTTGTTACAAGAGGTTAGCTTGGAAACACACTTCATAAATCCCCACCCCGTCCACCCCACTAAGAAAAAATGACACTTTGCTTAAGGACAACTTTAAATACATTGGCCATGTTATAAGCATGAAATACAATCCAGTCAAACATTTGAGGATGATGAGGGACACAATCGTCAAGAAACACTAGTTGGCTCTTGCTACAACAACAACATACCCAGTGTAATCCCACAAGTGGGGTCTGAGAAAGAGAGGATGTATGCAGACCTTACCCTACGTATGTATAGGTAAAGAGGTTGTTTCCGGTAGACCCTTGGCACAACGACACATTACCAAAACAGGTTAACTAGGTGGCTCTTGCTAGAAACAAGAAAAAGGTTATTCAGGCAATGCAATTTGTTAATGTAAGAAACTAACAAATTAGCTGGTTTGCACCCATCCAAGAGTGAATATTAGATTCAGGCTCACCAGAATAGTTGAGCTATACATACAAAGGAAGATAAACTGGCTCAATATTACGTCTAAAACACTCGGTGAACATCTAAAAGTACTGTTGAAAAATCCAGGAAAACAAAATTACCAAGAAGCGTTTGAGCAAGGCTGTTATTTTCAAGATAGTTGTAGACCAATATCCTGTGATCGTCTTCTATACAACAGCCATAGAGTTTGACTAGATTTTCATGGTCAACGTCTGAAATTACTTTAATTTCTGTCAAGAACTCCCTGACACCTTGCTTCGATTCACTTGAAAGAACCTTTATAGCAGCCATCTTTCCACTTTTTAGCCTTCCCTGCTCATAGCATCATATAGTAAAAATCCATAAGACTTCTTAAACACATAATATTTGAACCACCAATTCATAACAAGGTAGAAGGAGAACAGTTGTCATTACCTTATAAACAGAACCAAATCCACCCTCTCCAATTTTATTCACAGTACTAAAATCATCGGTGGCGATTCTTAACTGCTTATAGGAGAAAAGAGTGACATTCTTGACGCCAGAGAGCTCTGTTGTGAATCAACTTATTAGTATCTTTTCAATATACATAAAAAATTATATGTGGTATACGAAATGATAAAAGAATGTTGAATGTCACAATTACTAAGAACATCCAAATATTATATAATGGGCGGACCTTTAGTGCTTACCATCATCAAATTCGGATGCATGCCTGGTTGATGACTGATGTTTTCTACGGAACAAAGGGAAGCAAGTCATAACTTTAGGATGCACCAATGACCTTCTGTATATGATATCAACGAAAATCAGAGCCTGCAAAATTAAAGAAAAGACTCACTATAACTGCCCAGTAAATTGGCAAATCTAGTTGATACGAAATGCACTAAAATATAAAAGGATAGCATAAGAAATCATGACAAACATGGTTATAAGAGGGTACTTCATGCCTAAAAGAAGTCGGGCAGCCCGAATCAACATCAACTTTGAGGGGGGCGATTAAGTCCAAACTACTATTTGTAGTCAAGTAATTTAAGCTCAGATTCACTATTCTTTTGTTAACTTGCATTTAGCTGTAAAATCTTCAGAAACAAACTATAGTGAGCTGCTCATTCATGACAATAGATGCATATTTACATCAAACCATCCTCAATCTCTTTTCTCTTAAGCTACAATTTGTTTTGTTCTTTCCTTCTTCATTAACCAAAGCAAAAGGACTTCAACTCAGTTTATCAACTTGACGGGGTATGGAATGTTAAAGAAACAAACTTTTAGCCTAACTCAACCCGAAAAGCCAGCTCATGACGCAAGGATTCTCCAAGACCGTATAAGGAGACTACTTTTACCCTATCTATAACCAAAGGCAAGACTATTTTAACTTGGAAGCACACAAGGCTAGAAGAAATGCACCTAAGAATGCAATTGGCAGTAAAGCATCATGGTTAATTCCCAATAAAATGGTAACTCAAAGCGAAACATGGACACAACAACACATACCCAGCGCGATCTGACAAGAAGGATACGATGTACACAGACCTTAACGCTACCTTTGTAGGGATAGACCCTCGGCACAACAACTAAAAAAGGTGGACACAGTGAAGCATAAGAAAACAATTTATCAGCCAAAAACACAAAGTTGGTTCAACTGTTTACCAGATTGAGAAAAACATAAAACAAAAGAACATATACAAATACAAAAATAAAGCATTATACAATTATGGTTTATCTAATTAAGCAGAATCTACCTAATATCTGACTTTCAAAGCTCATGTTAAAAGTACTCTAGCTCAATGTTTGCTTCAACATCAACCCCAACAAAATCCAAAAACAAAAACAGGAAAAAACAGAAGAAGCAATTATTTAGAGGCATTATCATAAAGATTCAAACTTTGAGAAAAAAAAGACAACTACAGAGTGACATCAAATAGGCCATTTTTTACAAGCTCTACATAAAAGATGAGGGAATCAAGATTCATAAAAGAACAAAAACAATACTTTAAAAGGAAAAAGAAGACAAACCCATCAAAGAACAAATCTTTAAGAAGCCAAAAGATATAACTCAAATAAAAATTACCTCAAAAAATAGCAGAAAACAAAAACAGGTGATCTTGCTGTTTTTTTGGGTTTTTTTTTTTTTTTTTTGAGGTTTCCAAAGAAGTGAAATGGGATGGATCCCAAGATTCTTGAGAGTCTTATGGAAGTCTTTTAGAGGGAAAATTTCTTGTTCACATTAATAATTGCAGACACGCCCCAAAAATAGTACACAGATGAAGAAGAAGAAGACTTTGTCTGGTCCTATGAGGCTACGACGAAAGTGAAATAACAAGGCGTAACCTTGGCGCTTACTAGTCAAATAAATTTAATTTTACAACAACGACATGTCTCCCCGTCTAATTGCACAAGTGAAGTAATATGTGCGGAGACCTTATTATTATGTATTCGTAATTTAATTACACAAATGGAGTTGGTGGAGAAAATGATGTGTATGAAATTTTATTTTTGTCTTATAAAATTAAATAAATTGTTTTTGATGTAACCTTAGTTCTCAGCTAAAGTAAAATTATTCAATTTTAATCCATATGGGTTGTGTGGGGAGATTGCTCCACCTTTAATAAGAAATTTTGAATTCAGGTCTGAAGAAAATTTTGTTACGTCAACTAAATAAGAATGTAAGGTTCGATCTAAACTTAATCGATGTTCCAATAAGGACACTCTACACCAAATAGAAAAACAAAAATATTTATTTAATTTTAATGCTTAAGAATTGGAAATAAAAAGTAATCTCACTTAATTATAAGTACCGTAAAATGGAAATTTTATATCTTGAATTTGACTTTTATTTTATTATTATTCTATTTTGTTTGATTTATCGAATATCTACCATCTTTCACCGATAGATTATTATTTTAACTATAGAAGATAACAAATGACTATTGCCATCGAGTTGGGCATCCGTTAGTAGCTGTTGGCGTGACACTGTCAAATGTTTTATATGGCGCCAACACGTGTCTGGGACCCATGCACACACCTAACTTTAACAAAATTCTATTTAAAAAAAGGGTGAAAAAAATTCTGAATTTTTTTTTTTTTGGAAAAAACTGAAAAAGTTTTATAAATCAGATTATTTCGTGAATTGAATTTCACTTTATCATTTACGATTTTTTATTGTTATAGAAAATAGTCTCAATATCTTTTAAAGATAGGGTGATATTTGCTACAAACTATCATTCTGATATATCTATTGCGCTAAATATGTTTTGTTAGGTGTGATTTCATTGCGTGTTTTTTTAAAATTGTTTCAATTAAATTATCATTAGAAAGAAATTTTTGCAATAACTAAAAAAAAAGTGGAAAAGAATGTATTGCAGACAGTCGTGGATGGACGACTCCTTCCTTAATCAGAGATCTTGAATTTGAATCCTTAATGTGAAAAAATCTTTGATAGATATGTTTTCTCCAAATAAAGCGCTACGCAATACGAATTCAAAATAGTCAAGCTCCGATAAGATACTAAAGATTTGGTAAAAGTTTTTCAGCCAAATTTGAAACAAATTTTAAAAAGTTGAACCAAAAAAAAAGTCAATAGTTACTATTCTAGCTTATACTTCTTATATACATAATCAAAAAATTTGTCTACTAGAGAAAAAAACTATCCACACCTGAAATGTGAATTGTGTGCAATTTTGGGTTTATAAATTTCAAAAGTAAGCAACTTGATTAAAATAAAAATATTGGGAGTTGACTAAAAAAAATATTTAAAAAAACTCTAAGCAGCCACTTGATAACTTTATTCCAAAAAAAATTATGTCAACAATTACAGTTTCTTAAAGGACCAACTAATGGCAATATTAATGACCAAAGTGACAAAAGGTTTTAATTTTTGCATGTACGTAATTTGACATTTTTGAATCAAGAGTTTCAAAGTAGTGGATTTGTTTTTGGCCAAATTAAAGAATTGAGACTTTTTGCCATGTTATTTGACTATATAATAAAATCCATTTTCAGTTAAAAATATGTGTGAATAGGAAAATCATGACAATAAAGATAGAATAAGAAAAAGTCATTACATAATAATTCATCCTTTTATTGAGATATTTGCTTCAAACTTTTTATTGAATTTTACGTAATTCTAAATAGAAAGACTTCAAGTTTAACAATTATGAATGAAGATAATATAATCTCCGGTCATGCTAATTTCATATGAATTAATGTTGAAATTGTTTGTCTATCATTTGATTAATGACTTCGAAAATGAAATAAAGACTTTTTATAATGATACTATCAAAATTCAAACTTATAATTTAAAGTAAATCTCGAACAATTTTTACTATCATATTAAATATCTTCTTATATAAATTTTTTTTAACAATTTATATATAAAAATCTTATTTTTAATCTATTTTTACCAACAAAATTCAATTGAACCTCCTTCTCTCTCGCTAGCTCCACCCTTTGTTTAAATGGATATTCATAATTCTTACATGACAAAAATTCTTTATTCAAGTATTAAAAACAAACAAAAAAAAATAACATCTCTCAATTTTGTCTCATACTATCGACTATCATACAACATATTAAATCGTTCAAAAATATATATTTTAAAAGATTTCATCACTAACATAGATAATAATACATATCGCAACATTCTGATATTTGAAGAATATAATACATGGAGTATCAAACAATATTTATAGAAAATTCGAGCAAAATAACTCTGAACCTAATAAAGTTTTTTCATAATATATGGATGTGGATAAATAACAATCACTTATTTCTCTAACTAATAATAGTAATAAATTTCTAAACATCAAATTTTCCCCTTTCTTCCCTTTGAGTTGGAAGAGAAAATCAATGGCAAATGTTGCTGCTAAAGTTGCTGTAATTGGTAGTGGAAGTAAGCACCCCCCCCCCAACCCCCCTAACCCACCCCCACCAAACCAAATTGTGAATTTTTGACTGTAAACTGATCAAAAGGGGTTCTTTTTCCTCAGTTTCAGGAGCTGTTTGTGCATCTACTTTAGCCAAGAATGGAATTTCAGTAACCCTTTTTGAATCTGGAAGAGGCCCAGGTGGCCGTATGTCTCAAAGAAGGTATTGGGGTTTTTTTATGTATGAAATTTTTTCATGAATTATGTAATGGGGTTTCTTAAAAATTGAATCTTGAATTAGAGAAATGACAGAAGATGGAAGGGAGCTGCATTTTGATCATGGGGTTCCTTATTTCTCAGCTAAAAATCCTGATGTGTTGAGACTTATTTGTGAGTGGCAATCAAAAGGACTTGTTGCAGAATGGAAAGAAAAGTTTGCTACTTTTGATTGTGATTCTAAGCAATTTCTTGATATTGAACAGGTTACTTGTTTTTTTTTTACTGTTTCTAGTAGTTTTATTTTATCTTCTTTGTATGTTCTGGAATATGCTGACTGTTTTCATTTGCTAATATATTAAGGACTATTACTTTGTAGATTGTGTTCAGCCTGCTTTCTTTTACTTTTTTTTGTTTATTAGGAGTACTGTTTTTCAAAATGTGTTTTTGATGGATTGGTTGGTAGGTTGTGTTCACATTGTTTATATTTAAGACCAAAAAAGGAAAGGGTGTATGTACACGTTCTTTTTGACCATTCATTTGGATTGTTATAGCTTAATAGGTATAGATTTATTTATTCAATTCATTCACTAGAGGAAGCTTTTATGCACATGTTGTAACTAAGGGATTATTCTCTGTGAAAGTGGTTTATCTTGGAAAGTTCCAAGTAAATGACTAAATAGAAGATTATTGAGATTAAGAAATATGTCGGTGTTCCTGGCCGATGTCCCAAAGGATTCTTATGCCTTACTCACCTCGCACACAGAGTGTGAGGCGTCTTAGTTAAGCGCCTGCATTTCGTATATAGTGTTGAGAGAACAACTTAAGTACAATATCGGAAAATGATAAAAGCAAATGTGTAGTTTTCTCTATGGAAAATTTGTATTTTTACTGCCGTATAATTTAATATTAGCACATAGCCACAGGGTCACATGCATATAGTAATGAGCTTTTACTGGTAGTGTTGTTGCTTACTCTTATTTTAATTCAGGAAGGTTTGGAGAAGAAATATGTCGGTGTTCCAGGAATGAATTCAATTTGTAAATCGTTATGCCAGGAGCCTGGTATGCGGCTAATATTGCTGAATTTCATTCTTTGAAATGTTTTTTCACTAAGATGAACTACTGCACGATATTTACTTTTTTTTTTCTGTTTGAACTATGTAGGAGTTCAAAGTAGGTTTGGGGTAGGCGTTGGGAGGTTGGAGTGGTTGGATAATGAAGATTCATGGTCATTGATGGGTTTAAATGGCGAAAGTCTTGGCTACTTCAAGGGAGTGGTGACATCAGACAAAAGTACATTTTCACAAAGGTTCACTAATGTAACAGGGAAACCTGTACCTATTGGTAAGACATATCTCTACATTCTTTTGTTGTCTTAATAATTTCATTGGGTTGACCTTAATAGTTGTTGATTACAGTTGCATTTTTTCAAGACCTACATAATAAAATATGTTGTTGTTTTGTGAGATATGTCACCTACTTCCAGCCAGTTGTTTACTTGTGCTTTGACAATCGCTGGAATGAACTTTCCTTTTTTTAATGGTTCAGGCTCCAGCAGGATAAGTCTAAATAGTATATTTTGTCAACTGTGGTCAAGAAGGGATAATAAGAGAGTTTATATTAGGTGTCTGAAAATATGTGAGTCTAATATTATACAACGTACTTAAATAATAGCCTTTTTTGTTGTTTTTTTCAAAAGTGTCTCATATGCTTGGAGATGTTGGAGGGCCATCGTATCAAGTTGTCGCTACATCTTTGTGATCATTGTATTTGACTGAGTTTGTTTATATTCAATCATCTTTACTCCTTGCTTTTGTGTTGTCACTGGTACTGTGGTACATAAACCTTGCCATGTACAACGTCTCAGCATCCTATCTGTTCTTTTATACATTAAGCTCATATTGACCTGTATCTTTTCATATGGACTGTTCTTGGTTTGTTCCTCGCTGTTTTGCTTTAATAATATTGGCATTCTTTGATAAGTTAACAAGGTCTGCATTTAACCGGACAATTATTGTATCATGTCTAATTTCTTTTCCAGTAACAATATGTAACCTCCCTTCTATCAAGACATGTCAGCAACGTTATCTATTAGATCTTGCTTCTTTCATGTAGACATGGAAAAATTTCCAGAAATATCGTTGAAGATGACAGAAATTCCTGTTAATCCTTGTTTTGCTCTCATGTTGGCGTTTGAAGAGCCTTT